GATTCACGGAAAAGATAAGTTGAAAAATTTTGATCACAGATGATGATTTAATCACTACAGCTCTCGTTGCTTTCACTAGAATCTTCAAATAGCTTATAAAATTTCGCTCATTGTTAGCAAGTTTACAACGCTCAGATAAGGTTTGGACGAAGGACTATTGCGCCATCAAATAAAAATCAAATACTCTATACTTTATTGCATAAACAGTTTTCGTTTTATTTTTAAATATGTATTTTTCAAAGCTAGTAGTACCAATTAACGCAAAGGATAGCTAATACGGATCGATAAGCTACTCCCGAAAGCTGCTAAAACACTTTCTAAAACAAACATTTTTTGTTTTTCCGAAAAAAGGACGGAACTTTTTTTCATTCTCTTAAGGAAGCTGCTTCATTTGTCAAAACTGCTAGAACTTAATTCCCAGTTGTTATGTTTCTAGGTATACCAGATTACCGTTCAGCCAAAGTAGGTCAGTATGCAAGATCAAAACATCGCCCTATAGACCATCACGATTTCATGCGTTCCGAGAAGTGGCGTAAGAGATACTGGGCCAGGAATTATGTGGGATGGCCAGCTTTTTCCAGTTCTAAACCAAATACCAATCATTATAAAATCGCTTCCTGGGAAGGATCTGACAAAGTGTTGCTCCTTCTTCTCGATAATTTCAGCTGGTCAATGTATCAGAATTATATTTCAGTAATGACAATTTATTTTTATAGTTTGTTTGGCTTATAACGCAAAATGTTGACAGTCTACACACTCAGGCCGGTTCTAAAATGCTTACAGAGCTTCATGGTTGTGGGCATAGAGTACGTTGCATGAATTGTGACCGAATCTATCCTCGGTTGGTTTTCCCATTATTTCCTTGTCTCATTAGGAAGTGATTAATCATCGTTTTTATTCTAAAAGCTACTATTCACATGAGGAAAACGAACTATTTTTTAAGGCTTTTAGGTAAATTTGCTCACTTTGAGGTAGTGAAGAGTATATAATTCAGAGACGAGGTGCAGAAGTGGTTAACAGATGCCAATCCGGATTGGGTGGTTTCTAATGTTGGGGAAGTTGCTCCTGACGGAGACATTGAAATTTCAAATGAAGCTATTGATTCATTTAAGCTTCCGGACTGCCCTCATTGTGGTTCTGGATCTATTTTGAAAACAGACGTTGTTTTCTTTGGTGATTGCATACCGCGGAATGACGTTGACCTTTGCTATGAGAAAGTCAGTTGTTAACAGGAGAAGATTTTTCTTTGATTAAACTCTGTCTTTTGTCTTTGATGCTTCAGACAGTTACTTCTTGCCTGTAACTTTTTTAGAGTGAGATCTTGAACGTTTCTAGTCTGTCTAACATTTTAGGTAGATGAGTGTGATGGGTTGTTAGTTCTTGGATCATCGCTTACTGTTTTGTCTGGTTACCGTTTTGTCTACCAAGCGGCTCTTCGGAAGATACCAATCTTGATTGTGAACATTGGACCGACACGAGGAGATGATCTGGCGACAGTTACACTACATGCGAAATGTTCAGATATTATATCACTC